TTGAATAAGTATCTCTATATATATATATATATATTTTTTTTTTTTTTTTTTTGGGGGGGGGTGTCCTTTTTATGATTGTAGTATAATGGGCCCCAAAACCCTATTCTAATGATTAAGGCCCCTATACCCTAAATCCTTTCAAGAAGCCCTTACCGATCCCTTTAAGAAACCCTTTAAAGGACCCCCCCATCAACACCCCATTCTAACCCTAAACCCTAAACCCCCATCAAAATCCTATTCTAACCATTAAGGCCCCGATAGATTACCCTTCAAGCAAAACCCTCAAGGCGCGGAGCCCTGAACCCAGGCCTGCTCCTGTAGTAGGCCCTCTCATGGACCCAAAACAGCTGGCAGAGCCCTTTAGGGTTTAGGGTTTAGGGTAATAAGATTATCCTGCTAAAGCTTTGTCAACAAGGTAAGCCTACTCTGTAGTTCATACTGCGGCCGTCTGTATTACATGTTAAGCCGTGAAGAAACCTTATCGAACAGTTTATCATCCTCTAAAATTTCATTGAACTCCTTCTCGCACGAAAATGAGGTACATGCTATCGTTCTCATCATTGTTGTTTTCTCAACTGTCAGTTGTCTTTGAAGTAACATCAAGACCCCTACATTCGGAACCCTCGAAGTCCTACCCTAAACCCTAAACCTAAACCCTAAGCCCTAAACCTTTGATCTCCTCTGAAAGAGGCCACCACTCGCAGCACCGGAATCCTGGAGCTGGGCCGCTGCTCGGCCTCTCTGGGGGTGTTTTCCGAGGCTTTTTCTGGGCCTCGTTTTGGGGGGGGGGGTTCCTACATTTTGGGGGTGTTTGGGGTTTAGGGTTTAGGGTTTAGGGGTTTTGGGAGGTTCCTACATTTTGGGGGCCCTTGGGGTTCTTAGGCAAGATGTGTGACAAGAGCATCGAGTGCACCTGGCAATATCCTAAAGCCATCACCGGGGGACAAGCCGGCCAGTTCTCTGTAGCCAGTGTGCCTGCGAGCAAAGTCACAAGTCAGGCTCATGCTAGAAAAGGCAATGTTGTCCCGAAAGGACGAAAGTTCGCCCATGCGCATGAAGTTTTGCGAATGATAGTGCCGTTCCCTTGGCTTGCCAACGTTTGTAGTCTCGAATGCCGCGAATGCCAAAGCAACAGGTGCGTGGGAAATCTAGCCATCGTGGTAGTGGTGGTTGTGGTTGCTGTCGGCGGTTGTTGCTGTTGCAGCTGCTGCTGCCGCTGCGGCTGCCGCTGCTGCTACTGTCCTTATCTTTGTCGTTGCTGTTGTCGTGGTCGTGGTTGTTGTCGTCAGCGGGGTCGTGGTCCTGGTGGTTGTGTTTGTGGCTTGTGGTTGTGATTGTGGTCGTGGCTGCTGTTGTCGTTGACCCTAGACATATCTGTTGAAAGGTTTGGTGAAGCAGTGCAGTGACACCCTGCAGAACAGCCGCGAAGCCATCGCTGCATCCTCAGTGCAGACAGTGATGCAACCCCGAATGCCCGAATTCGCAGGCTTTGATAATTACAGTAGGGTTTGGGGGGGAGGGTCATTCTATACCATCACTTGTAGGGACAATTCTTAGCCGTCTAACCAGACATATACTACCCGCATATCACTCCTGCACAATTCTGCAATTCCTAAACACCAGGCTTTCAGAATGCATACTGTACTTTGGGAGCTGAAACCTGCAGCGTAAACACAAAATGTATCGGATCGGTTGGAGCTCAAACGTTTCGGGTCGCAGAGGGGTCTTCATGTTGGATGTCAAAACCAGATCGGGAGGTCAGGGCTGGCTTCCGATTGTAAACTTGAAGACGCCTGGTGTGCATCAGGACCTGCCTGGACTCCGCTATGCACCCACCCTCCGACCTAAACCCCCTAAAACATAGGCACTCGATCATGACAGTCCATCAAGGCCCCCCNNCCCCCCCCCCCCCCACCCCCCCAGAAACCAATGGAGCCGTCTAATCCAACGACAACTGGATGTTCCATACATGCCGAACAACAAACACATGAAGACCTCGTAAGAAGCTCCTGGATGTGTAATGAGCTCAATGACATCAAGTCAAGCTTGGTGGGCGCCCCCAAAACTCGATAAAGTTCTGCAAAACCCCCAAACTCACATGCACAAATCGAAAACGAGCGACGCCTTCTCAAGCCACAAAATCCAACACCGTCGGCTCAGACGGTTCTCTGCAAGCCGGACTTCAAGGACGGGACGATGTTGCATTGTGTGTCTTGCTCTATGTGACCTTGCTTTCTTGTTAACCCCAATCAGTGAACTCTGTAATCCTTACTTATAACCTACTTCGGTAGAGACTGATCGAAGTCTTTCAAGCCTCTGGACCCGAAGCCCTAATCCCAAATCTTACCGAAGATCTAGCGTGTCAACGCCAGGAGTTCCTGAAGAGACGCAACGGCGTGGACGGCAGTGATGGTGGCACTGGCGGCGACGGTGGCGGTGGTGGTGGGAGGCCTGGGGAAAACGAGATCGTACTGATCATACTGTAGGTCGGTTTATGTTCAGGGTTTAGGGTTCAGCAGATTTCCGCCGTTAATATCATGACGGAGGAGCTTGGAAATATAAGGATCGCGACTCGTAGCTTCGGTCGCTCCCGTCGTTACAAGGATAAGTCGACAGTTCTTTTAGTTACAGCTCGGTTCGCCCGAGTGTAGGACCTCGAAGCCATAAAATCCATGAGTGATTCAATCGGCATGCAAAACATCCATCAGTACGACATAGTACGACCGTAGTTCATAGCCGTTGTCAGCACCAGTAGTAGTAGTAGTAGTAGTAGTAGTAGTAGTAGTAGTAGTAGTAGTCTAGTAGTCTAGTAGTAGTAGTAGTAGTAGTAGTAGTAGTAGTAATTAGTAGTAGTAGTAGTAGTAGTAGTA